GCCGTAGGTCCAGACCCAAAAGGCCCTGCCAGCCGCGCGTACGGACGGCCGTTTCAAAACGCTCGAGGTGGGGCGGTGGAGCCGCGGGCGGCGCTGGCGGGTCACGTTTGAGGTCAGGCCCGCCCGGGCCGCCGAGTTTCGGCCAGTCAGTGCAGCAACGTGGATGCGTGCACCCCCCCCCCCCCCTCTCCGGCCAAATCTAAAGGGCCGACCCAGACCCGAACCGAACCGACTGAGTGACTGACTGTTCTTGCGACAGTGTTGCACAGTATCGGAGCCGAGCAGGCTTTTATTTATTGGCCGCCAGAGCGGTGAATTAATCCCCCCGACTGTTTCGCTCCCTACCATCTGAAAGGCGCGCCGAGTTTCATTTTTTTTGACGTCCGTAGTTAAAATGTCGAGATTGGAATCGGAAAAGTTTTGTCACGGACGAAGGGCGAATGAGCGCCTGGAGAGATAGGCAACATCCAGACCAACGCACACGCGTGTGAAGCGGGTTGGCCTGCCCAGCAGGCGCTATGAGCGCCTTGCTCGGTAGGCAACATCCAGTCCGCTGTGCACGCGTGTGTAGCGGGCTGGCCTACCCTGCAGGCGCTCAGAGAGGCTGCAGCTGTACTCACTCTTTCTCCCCCTGGCCTTGGTAAGCTAGAGGACAAAAAGGCATCAACCATACACCATCCACCCCACCCCTTCATCATTGCTCCACCCCATACCCTCTCACCCGTTAAAAATAAGTGAATACTGTAGGGCTTACGGGCAACAGCACACCAAGAATTTAACGTCAAGAAAACCATTTTAAAAACTGAAAAAAATAAAAAAATGTACTCACTCGTCGTGGTCGGAGTGTCCTGGACCGGCAGCTGCGCGGCCGCTGCCGCTGCCGTGCTGCTCACGAGCGCCGCCTGGAACAGGAAGGAAAGAGAATCGTTAGCGAGGAGGGAGACACTCACTGGATCCAAATCAATCAAAAGCCAAAAATACAAAACTGTCTAGAAACTATTCGTTTGATTTTGTTTGAAATTTCGACATTTTTTGGCAAGCGTATGCTCTGTTGGGCGAGCGGCTGCAACCCAAGCGGCGCAGCTTGTGCCTATGGTTCAGCTGGAGGAGAAGCAAAGGCGGCCGCCCAACTCGGCACCCATTCCAAATAATACAAATCAGGGCGCCCCCGAGGGGCCGGGGCCCGGGGCCGTCAATCACAGTAGTCTGTGCCCCGCCCGGAGCAAGGGGGCCCCCGGCCAGAGGCGGCCCTCCCCAGCAGCGCGCTCCAGCGGCGTGCCGGACAATGCAACAATACACGGCCGAGGGCCCGGCACAAGCCGCACAATGCGGGATTGTTCCGAGACGGTCCACCTCCTCCTCGCCCTGCCCGGCTCTATGCCCCTTCCTTCCACACGCCTTCCCTTCCGGGGGCGCGGCCGCGGCCGCCAAAGCCCGGCAGTCCGGAGTGGCGTGTGGATGACAACGGGGCTGTTTGTAGTCCAGTCGACCGATGCACGTCGTCTCTGCCTTGTCTATTGAACGCCCGTACGCACGCGGCCAGTCCACCCGTCGTTGGGACGACGCGCCGGGCGACGACACCCTCCTCTTTCGCGCCCATAAAAACAGCGTTTCGCATCCTCTGTTTCACTCCCGTCGCGATAAAAGTCACCTCACGCCTCACGTCGCTTTGCTGAGGACCGCCCCTGGACATCCCTCTACTGCCTCCTCATCAGGGTGGTGCGCAGAGAGTACCCCCCTCCCCCTCCCCGGGGACGCTCATGACACGCACAGGACGCACGTCGCCACGTCCCACCCCGCATATGAGGAAGTCGTTCACACTAGGGGACCGGGCTGGCCGGAGCGTGCCAAACGTGTCGTTGTGTTCACAGCCGGCCGGGGCGCTGGTGGGGCCCAGGGCCACAACGGCGCCCTCTGCAGCGCACTCGCCGTGCTCTCCGGTCGGGTCCGGGCCGGGCGGCCACCACGAGCCCTCTCCGCTTCTCTGCCTTTTCTCCTCTCGCCATGCAGATTTTCACAAAACGGCCCGGTGTAGGCCGCGGCGGATGGGGCTAGCTGCGCTCGCTGCCATGGGCTGGGCGTGCCCGCCATAGGCCATTGCCGCGGTGTTGACCTTTCGGACGGGCTGGGCTGGGCGGGGCGGGGCGCTCCGGGATCAGCCCGCCAGGCAGCCGCGCCGGACACTGCATCAAGTGCATGACGCAGCACAGAGTTCACTGCTCCGCTGCCTCCGCCTTCCCTCCCCGGGGCGCGCCGGGCCGGGCAGGGCCGGG